GCACTTCCTCTCTCACTTTCACCCTCTGTCTCTCTCTGGTCAAATTAAAAATAAATAAATCAATAAATAAAGTCATTATTTAAAAATATATTTATTATTATTATTTTTAAATTTCTTACAGGGCATACATACTCACCAGAGACAGAGACAGAAAGAGAGGGAGAGAGAGAGAAAGCAAGCCACCAGGGCTGGGACTTGAACCAGGATGGCCATGTGGAAGTCCAGCGCCTTAACCACCACGCCACCTGCTGGCCCCCAAGGAGTATTATAATTAATGGGAACTGATCCAAGATGTGCCAAGTGAGCAGGGGATAGCGTGACAGGGACAGCGTCCCCGTGTCAATCCTGGCCCAGGCTCAGGAGGGATCCTTCAGGGTCGCCCGAGTATAGCTGGATTCTAGGTCGTGCGTCTGCTGCTCACGGGCAAACGCACGGCGGTTAAGAACCCACAAGTGAAAACCAGCAGAGCAAAAGCACATTGAGGGCCGGCGCTGCGACACGGTGGTTAGGGACTGTGCGTTGGGAGCCAGGGCCCACATGGCCGACCACGGTTCAAACTCCAGCCCTGGTGGTTTGAAGAACAGGCCGAAAATCACTCTGGGTGCATGTGCGTGTGCGTCCCAAATCCTGAGAACAGAGTAGAAGGGACTGTGGTGTGACCATGTCCCCTGGGGAGCGATTTATCACTTCTCTCTCTCTCTCTCTTTCTGGAGAGCACATATGCCCTGTAGCAAAACAAAGCAAAACAACAACATAGATGACAATCACCAAAGGGGGTTTGGCAGGTGGATTTGCTAATTGGGCCTGTTTCTAGAACACGAGGGACAGGCACAGACGTCCGGCCCTAAGCTCAGTGTGCGCCCTGGGGGCACAGGCTCGACCGAAGGAGCCGTTTCGTTTTGTTACTGGAAGGAAAGGAGACGGGGCGGGGCCTAGAAGCCCGGACAAGGACGGCCTGGCTCACCTGCTGCACCAGGAGGTCCCCAACCCTCTGGATGACGTAATTCCGGTCGCTGCCCTCCTCCAGCGACTCCTGGCGGCGCTCCTTGAGGCGGGAGAGGAAGTGGCCGTGCATGTCCAGCAGGTCGTCGGCGCAGGGGAAGAGGCGGCTGACGGCCGGGCCGCTGAACTGCAGCTCCTCCTGCAGCGCCCTGGAGTACACCTTCAGCATGATCTTGAGCGTCCGCACGTGGTGCGCCTCCGTCTGCATCAGCTCTGCGGCGGGGCGGGGGGCGGCGGCCGTGTCAATCCTGGCCCAGGCTCAGGAGGGATCCTTCAGGGTCGCCCGAGTATAGCTGGATTCTAGGTCGTGCGTCTGCTGCTCACGGGCAAACGCACGGCGGTTAAGAACCCACAAGTGAAAACCAGCAGAGCAAAAGCACATTGAGGGCCGGCGCTGCGACACGGTGGTTAGGGACTGTGCGTTGGGAGCCAGGGCCCATATGGCCGACCACGGTTCAAACTCCAGCCCTGGTGGTTTGAAGAACAGGCCGAAAATCACTCTGGGTGCATGTGCGTGTGCGTCCCAAATCCTGAGAACAGAGTAGAAGGGACTGTGGTGTGACCATGTCCCCTGGGGAGCGATTTATCACTTCTCTCTCTCTTTCTGGCGAGCACATATGCCCTGTAGCAAAACAAAGCAAAACAACAACATAGATGACAATCACCAAAGGGGGTTTGGCAGGTGCATTTGCTACTTGGGCCTGTTTCTAGAACACGAGGGACAGGCACAGACGTCCGGCCCTAAGCTCAGTGTGCGCCCTGGGGGCACAGGCTCGACCGAAGGAGCCGTTTCGTTTTGTTACTGGAAGGAAAGGAGACGGGGCGGGGCCTAGAAGCCCGGACAAGGACGGCCTGGCTCACCTGCTGCACCAGGAGGTCCCCAACCCTCTGGATGACGTAATTCCGGTCGCTGCCCTCCTCCAGCGACTCCTGGCGGCGCTCCTTGAGGCGGGAGAGGAAGTGGCCGTGCATGTCCAGCAGGTCGTCGGCGCAGGGGAAGAGGCGGCTGACGGCCGGGCCGCTGAACTGCAGCTCCTCCTGCAGCGCCCTGGAGTACACCTTCAGCATGATCTTGAGCGTCCGCACGTGGTGCGCCTCCGTCTGCATCAGCTCTGCGGCGGGACGGGGCCCGGCTTACCCACGCCGCCGCACGCTTGTGGGTCCCGCTCCTGCCCGCCCAGTGTGCGCGGGGGCTGCCTTTTATTTTTGTCTGTTATCATTTTGTTTTGATTAAAGATCGATTTTTGCTATGGGGTGTGTGCACTCGCCAGAGAGACAGAGAGACAGAAATCACCCCCCAGGGGAGATGGCCACACCGCAATCCCTTCTCCTCCATCCTCCTCTCGGGATCTTGGGTACACACGCACTCATCCAGTGTGAGTTTTAAGCCTCTGAGACTGAGACTCAAACTGCAGTTGACTACATGGGAGTCCAGCGATATAACTATTACACCATCTGCTGGTCTTTGTGTGTTTTTTTTTTTTTTTTTTTAAACTAGACAGTGTATGTGCTTACCCAAGAGACACAGAGAAAGAGTGGAAGGAAGCACCCCCAGTGGGTTCTGGTCATGTCCTAATCCTTTTTCTACCATTTCTCCATTTTTTTTTTAAGAATTATTTTAATTTTATTTACTTATTATATTTGACCAGAGGGGGACAGAGTGAGAGCGAGAGAAAGTGAGAAAGCCAGCCGGTAGGTCTGGGACTCGAACTGTGGTTGGCCATGCGCCCTTAACCACCACGCCACCTGTCGGACCCTGTTTCTCCATCTTGTTGGGATTTTGGACACACATGCACACATGCCTAGGGTATTTATCAAGCTGCCAGGGCTGGGATCCAGCTTAACTGCCACGCCCTCTAAGCTACCCACACTACGGTGTTCTGTGGGGACAGCCCCAATAGGCGGGGACAGCCCCCAGTGAGGTAAGCATGAGTCAGAACTCGGCACTGGGCCAGACATGCCTGCAGGAACGTGTTCTAACGGAGCGGTCCCTGATCACCTCTCTCCCGACCCACAGGGGAGGCAGGGGAGCTGGCCACACAGTCTCTGGGGAGGTCAGCCCTGGAGCCCTGGCCCCCAGGGGGAAAGAGAAATAGAACGAGAAGGAAGAGCAGAAGAGAGAGGGAAGAGACGTGCGTGGAGGGCCGGCATCTGCCAGCGCTCCGGGCGTCTTACCGTAAAGGACATCCTGCCTTTTAACCACCTCGCGCTTCTGCTTCTTGGCGTAGGCCGAGTCCACGGCGAGGCTCCAGGACTCGGCCTCGAACTCGTGGGCATCTGATTCGATCTCGCTCCTCAGCGAGGCCGTGGAGGGATCTTGGG